TCTAGGCTCAGGCTCAAGTTCAAAGCTAGACTCAGGCTCTCGATGCTCAGGGGTGGAAGCACGAGTCTCATGCTCTCGACGCTCAGTCAGGGACTGTGTCACCGCAGTGTAAGGAGCAGGAGCAGGCAGTGGGGAGTGCAGTAGCAGCGGCGGCTGTGACTGGTCCGCCGGTGGACACAGCAACGGAGGAGTAGTACCTGTCACAGGGAAGCCAGTAGCACCTGGCTGAAGACTGAGAAGGTGGCGAAGAGCACCAGTAGCTCCACTAGGACCTCCAGCACCTCCAGCACCTCCAGCACCTCTAGCACCTCCAGCCTCAGCAGCTTCAGCGCCTCCAGCACCTCCAGCTCCAGCACCTCTAGCACCTCCAGCACCTCCAGCACCAGCACCTCCACGACCTCCAGTACCAGCACCTCCATGACCTCCAGTACCAGCAGCACCTCCAGTACCTCCAGCACCAATAGCTCCAGGTCCTCCCGTAGGACCTCCAACTACACCAACACCAGAAGGGCTCGCAGCACCCCCAGAGTCAGCACCCGAAGTCGCAGCACCCCCAGAGTCAGGACCCTCGGTCTAAGCACGCTCAGTCCCAGCACCCTCACGCTCAGTGCCCTCAGTCCCTATACCCTCAGTCCCAGCACCCTCAGGCTCAGTGCCCTCAGTCCCTGTACCCTCGGTCCCAGCACCCTCAGTCTCTGCTCCAATGTCCACAGCAGTAGGTTGCAGAGGCGGCGAAGACGGCAGAGGTGGGGACCCGGGGGGGGTAGCCAAACAAGGAGAGCGGGCATCCCCAGACCCACCACCCCCAGGCCCAGCTCCAGTAGTCTCAGCTCTAGAGTCCACAGCAGCAGGCTGTGGAGGCGGCGAAGATGGCCATGGCGGGAAACCCGGGGGGGTCTCCAAGCGAGGAGTGCGGCGAGTGGTCGCCGTGTCGTCGGCGACGGCGTCACCCCCCTCAGGTGAGTCAGAGGAGTCAGAAGAGATCTCAACTGGCTCATCCAAGGGGGGTGGGTCTACTTGGGACACACCTGAGGGAGCAGGACCCTGTGGGGGAAGGGGTTCTACCGGGGGGGGGACTGGTACCAGGAAGAGAGGTGCGAGAAGGACCGGGTGGGACGCGTGCGGGTGAAGTTGGTAGTAACAGACCGACTCGTCGAAGGTGACGTCCTGAGAGGACAGAACACGACGCAAGGCAGGGTGGTAGAACTGCGAGGGTGGAGCGTCGGTGGGGAAGCCCAGGAAGACACAGCGGAGAGTGCGAGGAGAGAGCTTGCTCGCTTTGGTATCGCGAACAAGGGAGAGCGCGCCCCAGACCTGGAACGACGACGCATCACCAGGCTATCCCGTCCAACGGAGTGTGGGCAAGATCTCTGGAGCAGAGACACGGGGCCAGAGGTTGAGTTGATGCGCGGCGTATCGGAACGCAAACGGCCACAGGAAATGGGGAGCAGCCGCATGGATCATGGAGGTACAAGCAACCTCCATGATCAGGCCAATGCGATGCTCAGCTATCCCATTTTGCTGCGGAGAGGTCGGAAGCGTGAATGACTGGGCAATGCCCTCATCTTGGCAGAATGTCTCAAAGACACCAGAGGAGAACTCACCACCCCTGTGAGAGTGCAGACGCAGGACTGGAAAGTCCCGCCGAAACCGCTCGCGCAGCTGGTGACGAGTAGCACGGATCCAGGGGAGCAAGACACCACTAACATCCTCCTTGCGCCGCAAGGGGAAGACGGTGGTGTAGCGTGTGTAGTCATCAACAACCAGCAGGAAGTAGCGCTCCAGGTCCGTTCCACCGACGGGGGTCGGGCCCCACACGTCCAGATGGAGAGCCTGCAGAGGAGCAATGGTCGGAGGAAACTCGGAGGAGTGAGGAGCAGCGCGCTGCCGCCCCTCGACACAAGGAAGGCACGGCGGCACAAGCGAGCGCGGGAGGGGGGGCAGGGTCGTAGGGAGGCCAGAGACCAGGAGCCAGGAGTGCATGCTGCGCAGACGCAGCTGTGAAGGGTGACCAAGACGGTGGTGCCAAAGCTGAGCAGGGTGGGTGAGGAGGCGACATGAGCAGGACGCATCGAGCTGACCAGACGCAGCCACCTGACCAGACGCAGCTACCTGTGCAGACGCTGTGGTGAGTGTGTATAGGTTCGACCCTGGCTTCCGTGTGAACGTAGCCAGGTGACGGCCTGTCTTGGCGCATGTTCAGATCGCCACACGCTGACCTCCAGGATTAAAGGTGTCAACCCATACATCCTGGAGGATGGCGTTGCTCACCAGGTTCGTCGAGACCTGACAGAGAGCCAGAGGGGACAGCTTGGCACGGGAGGACAGTGGAGTGGCGTGCAACCACCGGGCCCCCAGAGGGGTCCGCCAGGGAGAGTGGGACTGGTGTAGTGAGTGGGGTGACAGTGGTGCAGTCGTGAAAGAAGCAACGGGACGCACCAGAGTCAAGCGTGAAGTGTGAAGACCTCAGCAGTAGCAGTAGACTCACTAGCACCTAGGGCAGTAGCGACACTAGCATCTAGGGCGGCAGCAGACTCACTAGCGCGTGGAGGAGCAGCATCACCACCAGCATCGCACGGTACACACGAGTAACACGCACCCTCAACACTATAATCAGCAACATACATGGCATAGAGAGCAGCATTGATCTTAGCAAAGTCAAGAGCAAACACATCTACCCCCTTCCCCATCAGCTGCAGCCAGTTCGGCACCTGCTGGTCCTCGGTGTACTCAGCCACCCAGACATCCTCAAGACGGCCGAAGCACTTGTACTCAGTGTGCGGCTTCCCGCAGACCGTGCCCTTCAGAGGCCCCGTGCGCCGGACATAAGGGCAGCGACCAGAGCCCCCAGAGCCCCCACGCTGGAGAACCCACTCACGGAGCTACTGGTCGGTGGGGTTGTCCGGGAGGCGCGGCAGCTGCTGACCACTCCCATAGCCACGGGAGGGTCCACGAGCGCCACCACCCCTACCAGACCCACCCCGACCTCCTCCGCCGCCCGTGCTACCCCAACCGCCTCCCCCACCACCGCCGCCTCCTCCACCCTGTCTGCCTCCACTGCCGCCACCCCCAGAGCCACCCCCACAGCCTCCGCCACCCCCGCCACCACCCCCCCCCCACCCCCTCCGTTGCTGCCACCACCACCACCCCTGCCCCCTCTACCCTTGCTGTTGGTGCACCGTCCACTGGGAGCAGACGCACTGCCAACTTCCTCAGCACCAAGGAGGTCGACTACAGCAGCGGTAGCAACTGAGGGGAGGAGAGGGGAGGGAGTACACCCTACAAAGAAGGGGGAGCCGGGAGTGCCACGAGAGGCAGCGACAGCTACAGTGCTCTTCTCAGCCTCAAGAAGGGACTTCTCAAGCGAGTCAAGTGTGAGCTCAGTGAGGTCAAGGGCTAGGAACTGGTCCTTGACAGTGCGAAGGGAGTCAGGGAGGCGAGTGACAAGAAAGTACAGGGTGAAGTACTGCGAGGGGGGGTTCTTAGCGAGAAAGGCCGGCTTGAGAGTAGCACGGAAGCGATCCTCACTAGAGCGGAGGTGGGTAAAGAGGTCAGAGACAGTGCGGAACTCAGCTAGATCAGGATGCAGGTACGGCAGCATGAGACGGCCTACAGCAGCAGTAGCTGGGGAGGAGTAGCGAGCAACGACAGCGTCATAGGGATCCTTGGCCGTTTTCTGATGGCTAAAGTGCGCGCACTCAGTGACGGGCAGGTGGTTGCGGACAGCAAGGCGGGCAGCTACATCACGCATGAGCCACTTAGACAGATCCTCTACAGCGGTCGCAGCAGAGGCTGGGAGCTTTCCCTCAGTGTGCAAAAACAGGGAAATACCATCCTTAGACTCGCTCTGCAGGATCAGTTGGAGATCGTCGAGCCAGACATCAAAGGTAATCGCGCGGCCCTCAGCATCGAACGTAAGAACTGACAGGTTAGCCATAGCAGTAGTAGCAGTAGCAGCTGTAGCAAGTGCAGTAGTAGCAGCAGCAGTAGTAGCAGTAGCTGTAGCAGCAGTACAGTTGCAGTAGCAGCAGAAGTTACAGCTCGGGCTGGGCGGCGCGGCTCGGGCTCAGTGGCGGAGCAGCAGCGCCACGTAGCAGCAGCAGCCGGCGCTCAGCAGCAGTAGACGCGCTCGGGCTGTGGGCTTGCAAGCCAGGGGCGTGCAACAGGTGCGCGCGGGGCAGCTCAAAAGGGGTGCGCAGCAGGTACGCGCTAGGGGCTGGCGGGCAGCGCGAGTGACGCGCGCAGGGGCTGACAGGCCGCGCGAGTGGCGCACGGAGCAGCTAGGGCGCGGTCAGGAGGGGTCGCGACCGTGAGAGAAAAAACGTATGGCCGCGCGGGCCGTTTAGGAAGGGTCGCGACAGTGAGAGTCGGGGCGCCAGCGCGCTGGCTACTGTGTAGGGCGTGGCGCTACCACTAGGCGGAACGGTGGGCCCACGTAGGAACGGTTCCTACTCTGATAACATGTCAAGAACTGAACTAGGAATCAAATGTCGATTAGGTAAGGGAGAGGGGTACAAGACTATCGAGAGAAATGGGTTGTACCCTCTAAGGAATGACCCCTACACAACCTAGAGTGAAATAAACAGAAATATGTTTTGACAAAAGGCTGATAACCCTATTCAGTGTGAGCTGTGTCATGAACCTGAAATCAATTTACACGCGCCCTAACAGCAGAGTGACGTGTGAGTTAGAACCAAGGCATGCAAATAGCAACCATAAAAGGATTGTACTCCCTATGGTGCTACTCATTGTAGCCTAATGAACTGATATTACATTTGACAAAGTTGTTCTTCTCTTGAGAAAAAGGCACAACTTTTTCTCGATAAAACATCACCTTCCAAATGCAACACGGGTAGGCAGGAGCTCAATATAAGCTCCTAATGATTGATAAATACCAATAAATAAGGGGCAGGAGCTTGAGAAGAGCTCCAAATGTTTAATAGCAACCAAAGGATTATTTATTGGTTACTGTAAAGCTGCTGTATTGCAGTGTAACCATGCTACACTGTGGTGGTAACCAGGCAGGTCTTTAGAGTCGGGTGGTAGTTCTGCTGCACGAGGAACTTCATCCCATTCAGCCCCACCAGGTTGTACTCCGCTCCAGCAGACGTTGTTTCCACTGTGCCATAGCTGGCTCATGGGGGCGGGAAGAGAGAGAAGGCAGGCAGAAGGGAGGGAGGTGAGAGCGAGTAGGAGAGGAGAAGGGGCCAAGGCATATAGAGGGAACGGTGGCACCCAGCCCCACCAGGTTGTGCTCCGCTCCACTGGCTACTCTTTCCACGGTGCCTCAGCTGATTCATTGGGGAAGGAATTCAGGGTGGGGCAAGAGGGAGGGATGTGAGTGGGAGTAGGAGAGGGGAAGCGGGCGAGGCATAGAGGGAACGGTGCCATCAAGCCCCACGACATTGTAATCTGCTCGACCGTCTCTTGTACCCGCTGTGCCATAGCTGGGGGAAGGGAGAACGGTCAGGGCCACCTCTGCCCCACAGCAATGTACCCAACACACAAGACCTGACATCCAAGCGCAGATATTTGCATTCTCCAAGCCACTAGTATCAGGTATGGCCCATGTGCCCACCACAGATCGCAGCAGCACACCAATAAACCCTCCACACAACACACCAAACCTCACCTCCAGGCGCAGATACAGCGTTCTCCATGCCAGTGGCATCGTTCACGTGCCCAGATACGGCCCATGTGCCCACGCATGGGTCAGAGGCAGCCTCTGCAAGCTCAGGGGCACTTCAATGCAGCTCACCTCCAGGCACAGATGTCAGCATTCTCCATGCCACTGGAGTCAGTCCACGTGCCCAGGTACGGGTCAGAGGTGGCCTCGGCGAGCTCGTGGGCGAGGATGGAGACCATGGCGTCCATTGCCCTGTCACCGTTGGGACTCCTGCCGCCCTTTCGCGAGATGGAGGGGGCTGCACACGCCCGGAGGCACTGAGGGTGGTAGGAGAGGGAGGGGACAGGGGTTGGAGGAGAGGGGGAAGAGGCGGGCATGGGGAGGGAGAGGAGAGTGAGAGGCAGCCTCAACGAGCTCGTGGGGTCAACGAGAGTCAGAGGAAGGAGTCCATGGCGACCATGGCGACCATGGCGACCATGGCATCCATGGCATCCATTGCTCGGTGCTCTATCTCTGTTGACACTGCTGCCTCCTTTGCGCGAGATGGACCGGGCTGCACACGACTGCAGGCACTTAGGGATGGGGCAGGGATTGGGAGAGGTAAACCAGAGGTGGCCGTGGGCAGCTTGTGGGCCAGAATGGAGACCATGGCATCCATTGCTCGATCACCATTGGGGCTGCTGCGTCTCTTGCAGGAGGTGGATGTGGTCGCACAGGGCCGCAGGCACTGGGGAGAGGAAGGGGATCGGGGGAGAGGAAGGAAAAGTCAGAGGTGGCCTCAGAGAGCTCATCCGCGAGAATTGAGACCATGGCGTCCATGACCCAGAGGAAATCTCCTTTCGTCTGATGCTCTCATGCTTGAGGTCACTCAAATTTCCTGCATGGCTATTGAAGGTGAGTGAAGGCGGCCTGGAGGGCATGATACTTGATGTTGCCGTATGAATGCCAGCCGCAGCACGAGTGGAATCTGTACTTGAATAAATTTACTCAACGTGCTCTTTAAAACTCACCCTTCCTGGATGCCCAATGAAGGCGAGCTTGAGAGCATGGTTCCTGATGCTGTCGTATGAATGCCAGCCACAGTAGGCCGAGCAGAAGCCGCCTAGCAACGATTGCTGGTCACAGGGGAGGGAGTGGGAGAGAGGGAGAAGGAGGAGCGGGAGACAGGGAGGGAGAGGGGCATGAGTCTTGATTTTGTCATACTAGTGTCAGCCACAGTAGGCGAGGAGAAGCCGCCTAGCAGCAATTGCTGGTCAGGAGAGGAGGAAGCGAGGGAGAGAAAGAGAAGGGGAAAGAGGAAGCAATAGCAGAAGAGGCAGAGGAAGTGAGTAAGAGTGGAAGAGAAGGGCATGACCACGGGGATTTCTAACAAAAGTTCGCGCTGGCAGTTTCACACCCAGTTCGGGTCATTCGCAAAAGTCATTTAACAAGCCACCCACCTGCTTTGTGCCTCTATCAGTGATCACGAAGTAAACCCCATTCGGGTCGGTAGGGAACGCCTTGGCGCTGAGAGCGCGTCTGACTACCGAGGTGATAGCCAGGTTGCTGAAGAGGAAGCGCATGCGCGGCTTTAAATGGTGGTCGCCTGCTAGTTTCACCTCCTGAGAAACAGGTCTACCGCTGCAATCCGTGTACAGGCGGTTGATGTTCCACCATTGGGAGACTGAGAGGGATGGTGAGAGAAAAGGGAAGGGAGATGGATGAGAAGGAAGAGGAAGCAAGGTATTGATAGCAGTCTTTGCACAGGCGGTTGATGTTCCACCATTGGGAGACTGAGAGGGATGGTGAGAGAAAAGGGAAGGGAGATGGATGAGAAGGAAGCGGAAGAAAGGTATTGACAGCAGTCCTTGCACAGGCGGTTGATGTTCCACCATTGCGAGACTGAGAGAAGAGGGTGAAGGGGAGGGGAAAGGGTTGATAAACAGGAAAGGAGAGGGAATGAGTGGGGGAAGATGCAGACACACGGTTACCACTGCAATCCGTGCACAGGCGGTTGATGTTCCGCCACTGGGAGACTGAGAGGGAGGGTGAGGGAAAGGGGAAGGGAGAGGGATGGGATGATGGGAAGGAGATGGAAACAGGGTAACGGTTGCAGTCATTGTACAGGCGATTGATGTTCCACCCATGGGAGACTGGGGGGCGGGGTGGGTGCGAAAGGGGAATGGCAGAAAAGGAAGACGCTAACGAAAGGGAAGCAGGGTTGCCATTCCGTGTACTGAGAGGGGGTAAAGAGTGGAGGAGGTGGAAATGGGGAAAGCTGCGGGGCCAGGGCGAGAAGGGAAGAGTTCGGGAAAATGAGGCGATGCGCGAGACTAGGCTGAAACAGGATCCAGGGTGCTCGTTACAAGCGCTATCGACTCTGATGAACAGGCCAACCCCGTATATCTCCCCTCCCTTCCCCTCTTCCCCTCTTCTCCCATTCCCTCTCCCGCGATGGCCGGACCAGCCGAGCACACAGCGCTGCTGACGAGTAACTGCTATCGCAGAAGCGACATTCGAATCAACTCAGGAGTTCCCAGGCGGTTACCACACTCACCCGTGTTCAAGGGGTCAGTGGTGTCGCCAATCGAGTGCACAAAGTTGCGGATAATATTCTTCTGGCTCTCCTTGAACCGCCCGAACCAGATGAGATACACGTTGATTGGCTCGTGCATCACGCCGCACTCCCACTTGCTCGACGACGTCTTGCACGTCGTTGAGCATCCCGACCGGATCGCCTGCCCCCATCGGCCCGCGGTCGAGACGTTGCCGTTGTACGTGTCCTTGTCGGGGTTGAGCGCGTCGTCGATAATATCGCGGATCTTGGTGATTCCCGACGGGAGCTTGAATGAAATCGGGTTTGGCGAGAGGCCGGTCGTGTTGAACGCGTCGGCGAAAGCGCAGGCGAATGTTACCACCTGCAGCGAGGAGGAGAAGGGGGTGGCGTGAGAATGTGAGCGGAGGAACGGGATTCATTTACCACTTCGCAAGGGCAAGGAGGCGACGGGACCTTGGGAGACGGCGAGAGAAACAGCAGTATACGGGCCCACGTTCGCAAGCGGGATGGGGAGATAGGATGACGCGGGGAGACAGAATCGTAGAGGTTGGGGGGGGGAGGAGGGGGGAGGAGGGGGAGAGAGGGGGGGAAGGGGAGCGAAAGTAGCGCGCGGGATGGCGCGGGAGACGAATTGGCGCGAGAAGCGAGGAGAAGCCAGCTGCGAAAGCGAAAGACTTTAGAAACGGGCCAGAGACAAGTCAATTTGCAGTTAGCGACGACGTTGACGTTTACATTGACGCAGACGTTGACGATGGCCGACGTACCAGAAGCAGGCCAATAAAATATCTGTCGCGAGCCGAGAATCGTCGAACGCACGTCATCGCGATTCGCGATTCAAAATAAGGGCGCGCGGGTCCAGCCTGGCGCACACGCTATCGCGCAACGTGATCGCACAAGCTTCGTAGTCTATCGAGCAAGTGGGCGCGAAACAACGGAGAAGTAGCCGTGGCGGCTTCACGCGATGACGACGCCGTGCGGCGGCGGAGGCTTGAGATACAATGCAACCTGCGCCAATCGGAAATGTGAAATTCAAGCGTGCTGCGGCGGATAGCTCCCTCGTGTGCTTGAAAGTTGAAACACCTAGTCGAGGGATAGTTGAAAGTCAGCGAGATTGTGACTGTGAAGTGGAGTGTGCTATGTTCGCACGATTGCCTTCATGTTCCAACTCAACAACCATGCGCCACGCAAAACCAAGGGCTGGGCAAAACCAAGGGCTGGGCAAAACCAGGGTTTGGCTGGACCAAGGGGTGGGCAGCACCAAGGTCTGGGTTGTCTTTTCGGGTGACCTGGCTTCTCTGTGCATGTCGGTGTGTACAGTAGGAGGATGGCCGGGTTGGAAAAAACCCTGCTAGGGAGATCTGGAAAACAAGCACGATTTCTCGGTGGGAGGGTGACGAGTGTACAGTGTGGTGTAAAGAGGCGGGCAGTACGAATCATGTCATGTGTCGCCGAGAGGTTAGTTGGCGGCGAAGTGGTTGCGACTGCTAGATCCGAGTCGCATCAGCTCGAACACGGAAATGTTGCTGACTGAAGCAGTGCGCAAGGCTAGGTCGGAGGAAGAAGCTGGGGAACCGCCCCGCCAATGAGCTCACTCACGACATCACCCACCCTTAATCGTCCACGGTTTTCTTCTGCTTCTTATATCGAAGGCCAAGCAGTGCGGCGAAATTGCAACATCGATTGCAAGCAAACTGGCATAGGATTGCGAGGGCTAGGGCTGTTGCCTGTCTACTATAGCATGTGACATTGCTGCCTGCCAATGCGTGTCGGCTCTCCTGGACCAAGGCCTGGTTTACGGTGGTTGCAACAGTCTAGGCTACTACCACTCTCCCCACCCCATTTGTTGGGGCTGTTCACCAGCACCATTATAGCAAAAAACAACGGGATAACGACGGGATCAGGAATGTTCCTCTCGCCTTCCTGATCCCGTCAGTTAGAGTTCGTTTACCTCCGTCAGCCGGGTCAGCCCGTGAAAAAAGTGCCGAGCCTCACCTACCGTCCAAACCAACAAACAAACTGGGCGTCTGGCGAACGCCCACTTTTGTCCACCAATTCTAACCTTTCGACGGCATATGGAAGTGGGGCTAAACTTCGTCCCAAGGCAAAATACCATCCCCTAGCCATGCCATCGTCATGCCGCGTTTTTCAAAGGACAGCGGTGGCACAGCCGACGCATTGCTGTTCAGAGGGGAACCCTTGAACAAGCCTGCATTTTGACAAAGGGGGGTTCGTGTACCCCCCATTTTTCCATCCCAAACACAACTTCGAAATGCCCCCCGCACATAACTTGGTCGTGACCACGAGGTGGCGGGGGTTGTGTTTTAGCAGGGGGTGTTTTATTTGCGTTTTTTACCCATGCTGAGCAAATTTTGGCCAGCGGGCAGCACAAGGGTCAGTGAGGCTAAACTTTCGCGCCACAGAGGGGAAGGTGGGGATGGACCTTCCTGACGCGGTTGCGTAATTTCCCCTTTCGTGTGTGCGAAGTTTCTCGGGCGGCATCACGCCCAAACCTCGGAGGAGGGTTCCGCCCCCGTTTCCATATGCGGTCGCGATGCCGATGCCATCGTTTTCTGTTCAAGAATCGATGTGCTAGCGAACAGCACTGTTGTGTCCCTCACCTCACTTCACCGACGGTGGAACCCTGTACCGAACTGGTGCGGTACATTCAGATCAGTACATGTGTAAGGAAAATTCCCTTTTCCTTACTTCGCGTCCCCGCTCAGCGCGTACACGACTATAGCACCACAGTCAGCACCGTTACCACTCGCAACCCTCGCATCGACAATCATCCCGCCACCTTCGCACTTCGCACCCCGACCTCATGGCTCGGCGGGTAACCCGCGCTCCAGGCCTCCGCTTCGACACTTTCCCCGACCTCAGTCCCAGGCCCGTCGCGCGACAACCACAGTCCATTACCGTTACCACCGTAGTTTCGCTATATATTCTTCTCTCATGCCCTCGCTCATTGTACTCTTGCTTCGATAGTGCAGTTCTCGCTCGCTCACTCAATTGCACTCGTAACACTTGGTATTCAGAGCCTACGATCTCTTCTCAGACCGCACCCACACGTTCGCTTCCTCACTATCTCATTTTTTGGGGGGGGTAGACGTCTCTCGGCGACAGAGCACCGCCGCTCGTAGTGCTCCCTCGTAAGCACGCACGGCCACGACAGAGGCTCTCGCTGAGTTTTGTTGAAATGAATGAACAGGAATGGATGAACTAACAGTGAAAACAGTACAAGTACCTAACCCTAGAATTGTGTACCCCCTATAGGCTAACCCACTGTAGCCTAAACAAGCACAACATATATAATGTTTGACACACCCCCATAGGCGAAGTGGGGAGAACTGGGGGTCACAAGACCAGTCAAGGCAAAGCAAGGCAAAACAAGCTCAGGGTGGATCTCAAGGATACCACACAAATTCCGAGCACAAGCAAGTGGTCACAAGACCAATTCACACGCAGGTTTATAATAGAACAAGAGGTACAATGATTACAACCTAGCGAGAGTAAACATGCAGATATATATATAGAGATTACAATACAAACAAACTCAAGAGGTAAGCAAGTAAGGTCTAGTAGGCACAAGGCCTAGAAGAGTGCAAAAGCGCTGATGGTCACAAGGCTGAAGCGCCTTGGTGAACACATCAGCAGTGTTGGCCTCAGAGGCCACGTAACACAGACGAATCTGACCACGCTGCTGCAGCTCTCGAGCAAGGAAGTAGCGCAGAGCAATGTCCTTCGTTCTGTGCTCCAGTCTGTGCTCCTGACACAAGGCAATGGCTGCCTTGTTGTCGACGTACAGCACTGGAGGAGAACGAGGCCACTCTCCAAGGTCGGTCAGCAAGTAGGTGAGCCAGCGTAGCTCCTGGGCCGCCATGGCTGTGGCGTAGATCTCAGCCTCACAACTGGAGCTGAGAACATAAGAAGAGCGAGTAGAACGCCAAGAAACTGAACCAGAGCCAAGACTGAAGGTGTAACCCTGAGACGACCGCTGAGTAGCCTGGTCGTCTGCCCAAGAAGCGTCTGAGTGCCGAGTGAGAAAAACTGGGACTTGCCCTCCAAGCACTAGCCCCATGCCCGACGTACTGCACAAGTAGCGCAACACCCTCTTAGCTGCATCCATGTGCTCCTTCCGGTGACGGCCGGGAGCGACATAGCGTGCAAGAATGCTAAGAGGGTATGCAAGGTCAGGTCGAGTGCAGGTCATCAGGTACATGAGGCAACCCACAAGCTCTGGATACGGGCCACTCGGCTCTACGCACTCATCCGAAGGCAAAGCTGAGAGCGAGTGACCGGTAGGCAGAGGAGCGGGCTGAGGCAAGGAGTACGTGAAGCGGAAGCGTTGAAGGACCTGCTGCACCATGTGTGACTGAGTCAAGGTGATGGTGCGGCGTGCTCTGTCCCGGGTGATCCGCAAGCCAAGATAGCTTGTCAGTTCACCCAGGTCTGTGCACGTGTGTCTCTTCTGCAGCTTCGACTTCACGTGGGCGAGTGCCACGGTGTCAGCAGTGGCAAAGACCAAGTCGTCGACGTACACGAGGATGTAGAACGGCGGCAGTGAGGCGTCGGTGCGTAGAAACAGCGACGGGTCAGCAGTAGAAGGCGCGAACCCAAGAGCCGCAAGTGTAGTCCTCAGTGTGTCGTGCCACTCACGTGGCGCCTGGCGGAGACCGTAGACTGGCCGTCGGAGGCTCCACTGGGTACCAGGAGGGAACGACCCAGTGAAGCCAGGTGGGCGGCGCAGCCAGATCTCCTCGTGCAGGCTGCCCTGCAGGAAAGCAGTGCTTAAGTCAAGAGAGTGGAGCTCGTGGTCACGCTGAGCGGCGACGTGCAGCAGAACCCGAAGAGTGGTCATCTTCGGGGTCGGGGAGAAGGTCTGGAGGTAGTCAACTCCCTCGCGCTGACTGAAGCCTCGTGCAACGTAACGCGCCTTGAAGACACGCGGAGAGCCCGGCGGACGCTTCACCCTGAAAATCCACATGCCACTGACGATGTTCGCCCCAGGCGGGGGAACCTCGTCAATGTAGGTGCCTGTGGACTTCCAAGAAGCCATCTCTGTGTCCATGGCTGACTGCCACTGAGAGGAGTAGGGACCGGCCATCGCCTCTGCGTAAG